ACATCATTTGAAGGGGGACTAATTCTCTCTCAGGTTAACTTTGTGAATTGAGACAAACACGAGGTAAAAAACTTCTTGATCGTTACATCAATTGAGTTTGAATGTAGAAAATACCTTTGCAAAATTTTGCCATTTAGTGTGTGTGTTACATACAGGATGTGAGATTAAAGGTGACAGCAGATGTAAAGCATGGGAACAGGATCTGAATCACATGAGATGAAAAAAAGAAAGACAAGTGCACCCACCGAGTGCTTGATAGATAATTGCAAAAAGATATTATCTGTAAAAACGTTGGGCTATAAAAGAACTACAGCACGGTCACATGACTTCACGTCACCACCGCTAAGCTAAAGGTGGCTAATGTTGGGCTATAAAGGAACTACAGCACGGTCACATGACTTCACGTCACCACCGCTAAGCTAAAGGTGGCTAATGTTGGGCTATAAAGGAACTACAGCACGGTCACATGACTTCACGTCACCACCGCTAAGCTAAAGGTGGCTAATGTTGGGCTATAAAGGAACTACAGCACGGTCACATGACTTCACGTGCCCACCGCTAAGCTAAAGGTGGCTAATGTTGGGCTATAAAGGAACTACAGCACGGTCACATGACTTCACGTCACCACCGCTAAGCTAAAGGTGGCTAATGTTGGGCTATAAAGGAACTACAGCACGGTCACATGACTTCACGTCACCACCGCTAAGCTAAAGGTGGCTAATGCTGGGCTATAAAGGAACTACAGCACGGTCACATGACTTCACGTCCCAACCACTAAGCTAAAGGTGGCTAATGTTGGGCATGAGGCGTTTGTTAGTCTCTTTTTGTCACCTGCTAGCAAGCTGGAATATCCTCTCAGTGGCCTCTAATGTGTTTACTTGTATCTGCACATTAATAAACATTGATTTAATTTCGGCAGAATTAGCATTGAGGTTATTTCTAAGCAAATGAGCAAATCTATGCCTTGCCCCCTTGCCTTACTACTTTTTGTATGACAAACCCACATCAGCTAAATCTTTATCATGGCAGAGCATCGTTACATACTCAAAAACATGCCTAGATGGATTTCAAGTATTCTCCTGACATTTCCAGTGACGTAAAGATGATGTTTGTGCTTTTCTATATAATCTTCTGCACTGGAAGAAAGGCACCAACGCTCACATCGCTCAGGGCCATCTTGAGTGCACCAGCCAAACGACCTCCGAAGAACACAGCATGCACTTGGTTCCTCGCTGACACCTGTCAATCAAACACACACACACACACATGACATCAGGACACAATCTTCCTGCCTCCTTGTTTCCATGCCTACCGTGTATTTCTATGTGCACTTTACGTGTATATTTATTTGTTTGCATATCATCTATTTTCCCCTTGCACACATATAAGGCTAAGGAAGAGCATCTTATAAAGGGTAATTCAACGTAAACATGAATCTCACAATGTGTGGTTCGCAGACATGTTGGAGATTTAGATAAAAACTTGAAGTAAATGTGTCTTTATCTGTGTGTGTATTAATATGTCAAAGCTTAAAATACTAAATGGCTTTAGGGACTTCTCTACAAGTCACTCTACTTTGAAATGCATTCATTTGAACCATTGTTTTCCATTTAATTAGATTAAACCCATTTTTAGACTGATTCATAAATGTTTTGGGACCATTTAGGGTTAGATTCGTTTTAGGGTAGCTCCAGCTAGATGTGTTAGCAATATATATTCAAAAGTCTTTACGTTAAGTGTCTCTATTCTCAAGCTTCGGATAGATTATCAGGATGTATTTCAATATTGTGATATGACACTAGGGCTGCACAATTAATAGAAACTTTATACAAATCACAACATGGACCAATATCCACATCCCTGTAAGTTCAATATTCTGTCAAAATATGTGAAGAAACTTGAATGATGTCCCGGCTGTATTTAACAAACGGTTTGGTGTGTGTGTGTGTGTGTGTGTGTGTGTGTGTGTGTGTGTGTGTGTTTTTGTGCACAGGTGTGGCGGAGCAGTTTGCCATAGCGGAGGCGAAGCTGAGAGCCTGGTCCTCTGTGGACGGAGACGAGTCCAACGACGACTCGTACGATGAGGACTTCCTGCCTAACAACGAGCCCAGCACACAGAGCACAGGTACACACACACACACACACACACACACACACACACACACACACACACACACACACACACACACACACACACACACAGATTATTCAGCTAATTATTTTCCAAATTAATCGATTAGTTGCTGTCAAAAAAATGTAGAGCAGTTTTTTTTATCTTCAATTTATTTCACAGCCTCTCTCCCTCCCTTTCTCCCCCCCCTCTCTCTGTATCCCTCATTGTCCCAGTGCCCTAGTTTTCATCCTCTCCCGACATCTTTTTTTTGTTCCTCAGCGCAATCTGATATCCCTCCTGCAACTTTAATATCATTTCCTTTTGCTGCAGAGACAGTGTCCGTGTGAGGAGGGTGTGTGAGCGGGTTATAAATACACAATGTGTGTGTGTGTGTGTGTGTGTGTGTGTGTGTGTGTGTGTGTGTGTGTGTGTGTGTGTGTGTGTGTGTGTGTGTGTACCTTTTAGCATTCATCTTGATTACACTGAACCACCTTAGCCAGTACGATCTGCAGCTACTAACAAGCAGCTCTGTCTCTGTATATATATATATACAGAGACAGAGCTAGATGTGTATATATTTATATATATATATTTATATATATATATACACATCTATGGATTCTTCTTGAAAGACTTTCACACAAACAAGCATTAAATTATCTTAACAGTGGTGGGAAAATAACCAAGTACATTTACTCATTGCTGTACTTATGTAAACATGTGAGGTACTTGTAATGTGCTTTCTTTATAATTTCTACAATTTGAAGAGAGAAACTGTTCTTTGTACAGCTTTAGTTACTAGTTACCGGAACCTTATAAAACCAGTCTTTGACGCACAGAAATATTGAAGTATTGTTAAATATTATGTTTTTGATCAACATTAAACTTCCCAACATTATATTCAGGACTACCTGAGACAATTAGTGAGATAACACAAAACTAATTGGCAGCAATTTTGCAAATGTTTTACCTAGTTTTGATGTGTAAAATAATTTCCTAGTCCTATTTTATCAACCATACATATTTGCTGATGTTAATATTGGAAAGATGACATTAGTAAATGTTCCCTCAAACATAAACATGGTGTGTTTTGTAATGATACCTAAGTTGAAGTCGTTTTCTTTATGTTAATTTAAAACACTTTAGTTCTCAATAATGAAATACAAAATATCTGTCTATCGGTGTCAGCAATTTGTAATCTGCTAACATGAGAAACATACAGGAAATATAACGAATTGTTTGCAGTATTTTACTAAACAATTATGCTGGCTTTAATTGTAATATATACAACAATGTAAATAACAATTTAGCTTTTGGTCTTCAGCTATTTTTGGTTTCTTTTTCCCCATTTTGCTGAAATCTCTTTATTGCTGTGTTTGTTCTTCAGTCATGCTCACAGTGTGTGTGTTTCCTGCAGACCTGTCCTCGTATCCTCCCTACCTGAAGGACCTGATCCAGAGCCAGCTTTGCCAACACCTGAGTCTGAGAGGAGGAGGTGGAGGTGGAGGAGGAGGAGGAGGAGGTAGTGGAGAAGGAGGAAGTGGAGGAGGAGGAGAAGGAAGTGGAGACCCCTCCCCCACCGCTGGCTCCCCGGACACCCTGTGCTCCAGCCTCTGCAGTCTGGACGACCATCTTCCTCTTCTGAGAGATCTGAATGGCGGCCATCGAGGAAACTACAGCACCGCCGCCGAGCTCGCCGCCAAAATCCTGTCCGCGCTGCAGGGGGGGGAGGAGCTTCTGCTGGCACGCCTCCAGAGAGCAGGAAGTGGAGGAAGTGGAGGAATACGGCCATGTGGAGGTCAGGGTTCTCCGTGTTACTCCATGTCTTACTCCGAGACGTACCTGTCCCCCGGGGAGGACGAGGAGGACGACACCCCCTGCAAGGACTATGAAAACACCGGGTGCCAGGTGGAGGGGGAGGGAAATGGAGGAGAGGAAGGGGAGGTATTCCCCCCCGAATATGTCCCGCGCAGGAGGGTCTCTGACGTGGCGTCCTCCGGGGTGGTGTCACTGGACGAGGAGGAGGAGTTGGAGGAGGAAGAGGAGAGAGCAGGAGACGAGCAGTGACTCCTTTCCTCCCCCCTCAGAGTTTAACCCCCTCTTCAGAAGAATGTGTTGTTTCGTTGCCCCCCCCCTTCTCCATCACAGTCTAGTTGCCAGCAGTGTTGGACCCATGGCATGTTGATCACCCCGAAGGGTTATGATGGAAATGTAGAGTGAGGGTCCCCAGCACGTAGAACCTGCCGGATGTTAACTTGCATGTTGAGCGATTTGCACAATTAGCATAGTTGCAATAATAAGCGTTTGCAGACGTTAGTTTCAAATCGTTTTTTTTGACAATTTGGACAATTTAGTTGTGGTTTTGGGAGTTATTGAGGATGTTGAATCCATTTCTGTTCTCCAGATGGGTCGATTTGAAAGCTTTAGGGAACTCAAAACTGCCATTAAAGATCTTAAAAATGCCACAAATAGATGTTTAGCTATTTTCTGCTTATTAATGCTAGTTAACGCAACTTATAAAATGTCCAACATATGTTAGCATCCGGCACTTTCTCTGTGCTTTAGGGCTGCAACAAACGACTCATTTGATAATCGATTAATCCATCGATTAATGAAACGATGAATCGACTATTCGGACTATTATGCGTTGCACAATTTCTCAAACGCTCTTATTTAGCCATCAACTTTTAGATTTAGCTGGAGGTTGTTTTAGGCATGTGGAAACTAACAATGAAGACAATAAAGATGAATACTTGATTCAAAAATACATATATTATTAAATTAACAAATTGTGAACAAAATTAACATTGCTTTTTATGCTTTTTTTGTTAGTCTTTTTGCATATTAGAAACGAGTTGGCTGTGATATAATGTTTATGTAGCAATAACACATGACATATATTTTTTAAATGTCTCCAGTACCGATAAAAACACACGTG